TGCCTTAACTTTAGGAGCTTTTTTTATGATTGAACTGTGCTTACATCATGATTGAGTTGCTTAATAAACTTAAAATATACAAGGAATGAGTAGAAGTCCAATGGACAGCTGAAAAGATTTCTAGAGAACTTAGAAAAAAATACTAATCAAGACTGCTTGAAAAGATCACAAACATTTGGAATATTTGAAATAAAATAATATTGAAGAGATTTCATGTCAGTTGTTGTAGCTGGAAGTCAGGTGTAACAATGTGGCGTTCTCCGTTTCTAAAAGAAGTGAAACGTGATCAGGATCATTATCACAGTGAGTGAATCAGCAGCTCTCCACCTCTGTGCTGAGTGGTTCCTTGAACCCTGTGAGAAATGGCTCCATAAAAGCTCAGTGGGGATTGTGTGCAGTCACCGAGAACGACTTGACTTATGGTTAACACCGTTAGACTCTCCGAGCTGCACTGAGAGCAAATTCAGATCTAAAACTAAAGAAAGACATGAGTGAATGTCCCCATCCATTTGTGTTTATCATTTGTTATTAATACAAATATCACTAAAATAAATTAGAGAATGGATGCTGCAAGCTGTTTAAAAAGCCAGTTCATGAAAAGCTCAGACTAAAATGCATAAAATAAGCTAAATAAATTCAAAATACTGGTTATGTTGCCATATTTTTGTCACTTCAGTGAAAGGAAACATTTCCCTCCGTGTCTGTCAGAAGTTTAACTTTATAAAACAGAATGGAGATGGCCTAGTTGCCTTTTTAATTATTGCATGTTTGGATGCAACACTAATGCTGAGCTCATAATATATCACATCCTGCTTTATTTCATTTAAAATATATGGACTAAAAACCAACACAAAAATAAAAAAGCAACAACTTTCAACTCATTGAATCTCATGTTTTCATGCAGTTTTACTTCTCCATGTTTCCCTCCTCCTCTTCCACCGGGTGCTTCAGGATCAAACTCATCATTTGTTTCAAAGGACGGACCCACAATCTTCTGTTTGTGTGTCTTAAATGATCATTTATGGACTTTTCACACATTTCAGTGTGAACTCCTTCTATTTCCAGTGATGTTGACCTTGTTCCAGACTCGTGTGTCACCTTCTGAAACAACAAAACGTGTCAACAACAAACCAGATGCTGTAAATAAAGAGCTGAAGTAGCTTCATGCTTATTGTCCGCATCATGTGTATTATTTGCTCTCATCATGATAAATAACTCCTGTGAGAACGTTCTGCAATGACCTTCTGCTCATGTTGTGATGTGTATGAAAGAGTTGATATGATATGGTGACATGTCTTCAAGCAGATCCACTCCTTCCTGTCTGCAAGCGGACCTTTCGATGACGGCTCGGACATGGAGAGGATGAGGCCTGGACTTGAGGTCCAGTCGGACTGGACCCGGGCAACGGCCTTCTGTGAGTCAGCAGCTCATAGGATCCTCCGCGGTGACCAGTGGAGCTCGGAGCCCGCAGAGCACACAAGGCCGAGATCCCGAGCCGGTTTCACAGAGGATCTTCTGTGGTGACCAGCGGAGCTCGGAGCCGGGGAGATGACGCCCTGACCAATCAGTGATCGACAGTGTTCTGACGTCACGTTTTAGTTTTGGTGCTGGCTCCAGTCGCTTAGTCCCCTTCAGAAGAAGGGACCAAAAAAGGGGCTGGTTCTGCCAAGAAATGACAGTGGAAAAGCGCTCGAAAGCGTACCGAACCGAGCCAAACCGGGCTGAAGAGCAGCTGTGGAAAATGACCTTTATATGAACTCTTTTTTCCCTCCTCTCCTTCTGATTAGCAGCTGCTGTCAAACTGATTTGTCAGATTTGAAAACTGGTCGTATCCAATCAATTTAGTTTGTCACCATGGTAACAGCAGGTGGATGCTTAAAGAACTACTTTTGTCTTTTTTTTTTTTTATGATCAAAGGAAAGTTTTTCATGGAGAGCTCTCAAAAACAAAGTACACATGTATTGTGACAATTACACAGAAAAATGATCAGAACCACAAAAAGCAGACTGAACTTTCCCAAAACTTGATTATTAAAGACAAATTTTCACCAATGCAATAACAAACAAACAAATAAATAAAGCATCTACTGTGTGTTAACGTCTAATTTTTCAAACAGAAATGCATTTAAGTAAAGCTGTTAAATAAAACAATAAAATCACTTTCTCCTAAATGCATTTATTCATATCAATCAACCTTTATTTATACAGGTAAATCCCATTGAGCCTCGAGGACTCATTTACAAGAGAGACCTGATTTCAACAAAGAAAGATGAACAACAATGGACAACAGCAACAACAATAAACAGTTATAAAAAAGCATACTACAGTTTTTTTTGTTTGTTTTGTTTTGTTTTTTAACATATGGAAGTGTGTGTTAAATTATTGCATGTAAAACTTATTGTTTATAAAAATTAAATAAATCATTAGAAAAATCTAAGCAAATACCTTATTGTTTTTAGTATTTTACCTTGTTTTATTTGGTACTGTACTTTGATTTGACTGTTTTTATAAAACTACTTTTATTTTAGTTGCTATTATTTTTGTATATTGTTGTCTGTACTCTGAATGTTTGTCTAAAACAGATTTCTCTTGTAAATGAGTTCTCATGACTCAATGAGACTATAAAGGGAAAAAACAACTTTGAGTTCGCAACAAGAAGCAGCAGAACAGGAGTTAAACGCAGCAAATTAGTAACAATTCTTTGATGAATTTTTTTAATCCACCAGCGTGTTTGCTCTCACTTTTAACACTTGGCTGTGATAAATAAGAGGAAACACCTAATTTATGTTTGATCCCAACTAAACAACGATTACCTCTATCTAGAAGTCCAACTTTGGTTCAGGCTCCTGTTAAGGAACAACAAATAAAACAAAATCCTTTAGCGTCCTCCTTGATTTGACTCATCAGACAGTTTTTGTCCCCTCACGCAGGATTCACTCGGAGCCAAAGGCCTCACAGTAAATCCTGCAGCTCTGTTTATTTTACTGTCATCCTGGTGATTAGATCAGCAACATTAATCTGTTAAAGGTTGCCATTTGCTTCCACTGCAATGATCATGATCCATGAGTAAACAGAAGCAATTAACATCTCACCATCTGGATGACCATCAATCACTGTGGATGGTGGTCCGTAGTAATTAAGCTATAAAATGCTTAAATCACTCTCTTGGCGTCAACAATAGTTGTGCTCTGTCGCCATCTGCTGGTAACAATGAGAAGTTTATTTATTTGGACAGCATTCAGTCCATGGCTCAGATTAAATTATTTTTTTGATCTTTAGTTTCTATCAAACTGGTTTATAGTGGAAATAAATTCAGTTAAACTGAATTGGAAATAATTTAAAAATTTTGTAAAGAGATCTACTTTTAAATTAGACCTTAATGGATTCACTTAAATGGCATCAGGCTGTAATTATTAGATTTGATTGGGTAATATTACCTATTTTAATTTTGATGATTTGTTTGATTTTACATTAAAATTTTAGAATTAATTATAACAATTAATTATAATACCTGGATGTTTGGCTTGACTGAACACCATTTTGCTATTTTTAGCATGCTGTCTAAATACCAATACTATTATTATTAGATACAAAACAGAGATAATTAAAAGTAAAGTTAAAAAAAAAGCCAGATTTTTAAGCTGGAAGTTTTGTGCTGGCACATATTATCATGTCAAACTTTAAAACACAGCAGGTATTGTATTTTAAAACAGGGAGGGTAGGGGAGTGGTGGTGCAGAGGTTAGAGAAGGTGGGCCTGTGATCGGATGATCGCTGGTTCACGCCCTGGTACCGACAACATCAAAAAATGTGGGTGGGGTAGGTGAAGCACCCACACTTGCCCCCACCCTCATTCACCCCACCCTGGGCCCATGAGCAAGGTCCCTAACCCCCATCTGATCCCTAAACAGACCTCTCTTGAAAATGAGTTCTTGTGGCTCAATGAGACTACCTGGATAAATAAAGGGTAAAAAACAAACAAACAAAAAAAAAAACAACAACCAGAAGAGAACTTGGTTTTCAATGATATGATGGTGCTTAAAAAAGATTTTAAATATATATGTAAATGGACTGTACTTATATAGCACTTTTCTGTCTGACCAAGACACTCAAAGTACTTCTTTATCACATTCATGGGACACATATTGGAGGCATTAAGGGGTTCAGTGTCTTGCCCAGGGACACTTCGGCATGTGACTGCTGGTGATATATATATATATATATATATATATATATATATATATATATATATATATATATAGTATTGAGTTTTGTGGCTCAAGCAGCAATAATGTTCTAGTTAAAATGAATTGAATTTGTATTGAATGTGTTACCTGACCTTAGTTTTGTTTAAAGTGTAACCAGACTATTTTAGTTATTAGTAAGTTGATAGGATTCTGAATGTACTGAAAACAAAAAGAAGCACATAACATATAAGTACATTAGCAAATAAATAAATAAAACAGTAACACACAGCAAAAAGAAATCTACTAAACCTACACTTAAAAATAAAACTATAGTTCTAAATTTAATGAGGCTGACTTTCAACTAAACTTTAATGTTCTGAACATGTTGCTGTTTACAGAGGAGATACGGCAGATTACGAAGCAGTTCTGAAGGAAGGGCCTTTAATCTGTAGCATTTGAGCTTTGACTAGAAATGCACGCATATGCACTGGGGTGTCTATATTTGTGGTGCCTCCACGAACGTGACAGAAATCAGGAGGCAAACTATCTAAAGCGCCATCTGTAGTGTATCTTTAAAACAACCACAACAACAAAATTCATAAAACTAAAGTTTTACAATAAATAATCCACATTAAGTTCTATTCAACTTGAATCTGATTGGGGTGCAATCATCTAGGTTGAAGAATTCAGATTTGCAGTGAAGAGAAATTAAAGATAATCTTAAAAGGTCATCTGACTACCTGTTGGGTTTAAATTGCTGATTGACAACACCTGAGTAATCCTTAGCTAAATGTGGATATAAACAGCAAAAAGTCAGACTGCTGCATGCTGAGCATCACTGAACCAGCTCTTTAATATTCAGCAGGCCACTTGAGAAGCAAAATGGGTAAATCAGTAAATTGGTTGATGAGAATAAACGGTTCCTAATCTGATTAGCTTTAAAGTTGTGTTGTTTTTTTTTCCTTCTTTGTTTTTGACAGCAAAGAAGGTGCTGATCATTTATGCCCACCAGAGCTCTGGTTCGTTCAACGCTGCAGCTAAAAATGCTGCTGTGGAGGTTCTGACTGCTCAGGGCTGCACAGTAGAAGTGTCTGACCTGTATGCCATGAATTTTAAAGCCACAGCCACTGCTGAGGATATCAAAGGTATACATTAAAGTTTGTTTCTTTAATTGGTGGTTATCCTTTGTGGATTCATCTTACTTTTGCTTTCAGGAGAAGTGAAGGATGCTGAGAACTTCTGTTACCTGAAGGAGAGCAGGATTGCCTGGGAGGAAGGAAGACTGTCAGATGACATCACTACAGAGCAAACTAAACTCACTGAAGCAGATCTGATCATTTTTCAGGTAGATCCTGGTTGGCAGTAAAGTTGTTCCTCAGCTTCTGTTCTCTAACTGTGTCTATCTTCAGTTCCCCATGTACTGGTTTGGACTTCCTGCAGTCATGAAGGGTTGGATTGACCGGGTGCTCACTCATGGATTTGCCTTTTCCCAGGAGAAGTGCTACAGCCAGGGAGTCTTCAAGGTGAGACTTGGATCACAAGACTTGGACAGGCATCAAAGGAACTTGTCTTAACCTGTCTGTCCATTTCAGGACAAGAAGGCCATGTTGTCCTTCACCACTAGGTCTCTTGAATCCATGTTCAGTCCATCTGGCATTAATGGAGACATGAACGTCACTCTGTGGCCTCTGCAGGTACTGCCTGACTTTAAATGGACCTCCATTTAAACTGGTGCCAAGTGACTGGGTCAAATGTTCTGTTCTCCACAGAATGGCATCCTGAACTACTGTGGCTTCCAGGTTCTGGCTCCTCAGATCTTCTGGGCTCCATCCTCTGCAGCTGAGGAGGATCGTAAAGCCATGCTGGAGGCCTGGCGTGCACGACTGCAGGGGCTCCTGGAAGAGAAGCCCCTGTCCTTCTTCTCTCTGGACTGCTTTGATGAGAAGACTTTCCAGCTGACGCCTGATGTTCAGGAAAAACATGCCAGCGAGGAGTTGGGTCTGACGGTGGGCATCCACCTGAACAAGCCTCTGCCCCCCCACAGCCAGATGAAGGCTGGATGCTGATGTACAAAAACAATAAGTGTTTTTTTTTTTTTTTTTTTTTTCTCTGACATTGTGTAACAGTATCCATTGAAGTGTGTGGGGGTGTTTATTTATTTTTCTTTCCCCATTATTTGCTGACTCAAAATTTGTCTCTGCATGCGTTTCTGCCAAATGTCAGTGTAGGAAATGGATTTTATGGAAATAAAATCTTGACCTTTTTCAGTAAACTTTTATTAACAGCCCACCCATTAACCTTTTATTTAACCAGGCAAATCCCACTGGTATCACATCTGTTTTCCTACGGTGGCCTGAAGGCAGCCAAACATGAGAATGGTTTTTGGTCTGTGGGACGAAATCAGAGAAAACACAAGAGGAACATTCAAACTTGACACGAAAGACCCCAGGTCCAACTGGGGATGGAATCCAGGACCTTCTTGTGTGAGGCAACAGAAACCACTGAGCTGTTGTGCTGCCAATAAATGGAACCTTGCAAATACAACAATCAGCCAAGTTATGGAAACCAATCACAAGGGAGCACATGTCCTGAGCCCAGATAAATGAGTTTGTCAGGGACGTAAAATCTTCTTGCTAAAACTACAAGTACACTTGAACATAACGATCGCTTGAGATCTGGGTAACAAATTTTTCATCTAAACATGTCCGCTGTGTGGAAGTATTTTACACTAGAAACACCACAAAACAAGACAGCAACGTGCAATGTCTGCAGAGCCATAGCGCCACATTAAACCACGTTAAAGTTAGTTTTATGATGGACATTAGAGCTTCGTGGCTTCAGCGGGGCGCTACTCTTTGGTCAAACCGAAAGAGACGACTCGACCCCGGCCAGTCGCGTCCAATCTGCCCCGATCAGTCTGCTCGTCTCTGAGGAGGGACAGACTGAGCGCGGCTGCCCCAAATCAGGCTGCCTGCTTCAGATTGAACAAGAAGAAGACATCGCTGAAACATGGAGCTCAAATGTTTACAGAGAAGTTGATAAACTTCATAATTAATGACCAACCACTATCAGTTGTAGAAAACGATTTCACAGCTTGATACTTGGAGTCAAGATATAGTTTACCCTCCAGGAGATATTTATCAGTACAACAGTAGACGATCATAAAAAACGTGATTTGAAAATTATATATATTAAAAGCATAAACAGCTACATTATAAAGTGATGTAAAATACTAAAAACAGGAACATGTCTGTTGGTTTATGCCATGAACTTAGCAGATGTTTGAAACCAATTAACATTTAATTTAATTCATTTATTCATTAATTTAAATGAAACAAACAAAATAAAAAAATCATCAAAAAGAAAACATTGAATGAAAAGAGTGCAGAAAAAAGAAAATAATTCTTATATCTGCCCCTTATTTAAAAAAAAAATAAAATAACTAAACAATCACTTAAATTAATCACTTTAATATCCACTTTAAAACTAGGAATAAAAAGAAACATGTCATTTGCTGACACGCCTGCTGGATTGATTGACGGGTCGCAAACAAAACGAGAGCTGGCAACCCAGCAACAGCGGTGTTCTGTGTTTATATGTTGTTAATAAAAAGTTCTACAAAAATAAAAAACAGGGAGTGCGACTTCTGAAGAGGGAAACGCCGAAAGAAGAAAAAGGAAGAATAAATTGTAATACTTGAAACTATACCACTTTCAACTTAACTACTTTGATTTTTGGCATAAAACTTTTCCTATCCTATTATTCATACTTTGGCTTTTCAACTTAAAGTTTCACTTTAAAGGTCAGACTGGAAATGAAAGAATCCCAAAATGGCAGCTGACTTTGATTGCTGACTGACCAGATGTGGTGAGGCACAACTGAAAAATGTCCCACAAAGTACTTCCTAATGTAAATCGTTTTATTTGGCTGCTGCTTATTTTTAGTTCTGCTTATTTTAAGTTCTGGGGCAGTACAGTTTTTTTTTTTATGTGGATATATCAAATTGCCATATCGGCAGTGCTTGGTACTTTTGGTGGCTCCAATCAATTTTCATTGGGGAGTATCGGTAAAATATTCTGATCTGTGGACACATTCTGCTGGTTTTAGCTCAATGGTATGATCACCAGTAACTCTGGACCCTGTTAATTTATCTAATGCAGAACAAGTGTGCATGCTGTCCACAATAGTGGAGATACTTTGGTTAAAAATCCATTTGTGACACAAATATTAGGACAAATTAACTGTGAGCTGCTCAGAGCAGACAGTCCGGACATGAATGAAACACAGAAAACTGAGGACATTGTCAGATATATAATAATACATTTTATTCAACATAGTAGGCCTACAGTATTTTCAGTGTTTACCTAAACTTAGATATCACACAGGTGGTTCTTACCAACTTAGATGACTTTTGAAAGAGTTGCAGTAGCTCAGTGGTCAGAGCTCTGGTCTTGGAATTCTGAGCTTCTATGTTTGAGCGCACACTGAGTCTTAAAAGTAAAGAGGCTAGGGTATATTACACCATTATTATTTTATAACTAGAGGTTTATTACCCCAGTTAACTTTGGTAATTTGGAGTAACATTGCAGAATTCTTACTTCAAATAAAAAAGTCCCTTCCAGAAAGCTTTTATACAGTTAAAATAAGAAAATACTCCTGTTTCGGCTGGATGCGAAGTGGATTTGATAGGTGTCAATTTCTCTGAATGAATTATTAGACCAATCTGTTTTCATGAGACACAACCTCCTGATGCAGAATACAAGCATCTAAAGAAATATATTATAATACATGATGATTATAACAGATGGCAATTCTTGATGAGATTTTGACATTCATTTAAAAAATGCATAAAACAAGAGCAAGTGTGTGGAGCATCTCATTAAGAAGCAGTGTATTCAAATGACTTGATGGCGCCACAAGAACAATGAAAACAGAAATGATAGAAAGTAAATTAGCATTTCTGTCAAGAACATGCTGACGTTAGATTTGATGTTGTAGTGAACTAGGCCTGAGGACCTTATGGGACAGAAACTGTCATTTCATTGATTTGAATCCAGAAATACAGGTTGACCCATCCTGAGACTTTCTTTCTTGAATTAATCAAGTAAAAGAAGACTACTTTCTATTATCATTACCATTTTACAAATGTTTTGATAATCAAATTGTGTTAGTTCAAACAATGTTTAAATGTTGAAGTGAACTACTCATTTTTAAATCAACTGTGAAACAGTAATAATGATTTTTAATCCTCATTCAAAGAAGAAATCAGGTTAATGATGCATTGTCTGATTTTCTGTCTTCAATGAGCAAGTGTGTAAGTTGGTCAAAGTTCAAGTTTCGGTCAACTGCAAGTTTACTGAAAAAGAAATGTCATGTTTAACTTTTACAGCAAGATACTAGAGAATTGACTCCACGAAGTCTGAGTTCTTCATAACAATCTTCTGTCTGTTCTTAAACAATCTTAATCTTTTTCCTTGACTTTTCATAACACCTTACATCACAAAACACACCTCTGTTTTGGTCCATCGACCAATCAGAAACTCCCAAATGAACCGGAAATAGAGCTCTTTAAAAGGTTGGTACTTCCTAGTTCAACCTAGTCGAGTTGGAATCGGGTGGAGAGTTTGCAGCTCCAGTCGTTTGGGAGAACAGAAGTCCAGCCATGATTCAAAGCTCTTCCGAGTATTGGGATTATGACATCTTCCACCTCTGAGTGGAACTCTGACGGACCCCACTCATGTGAAGTCCACTCGTGAGGTGAACTGTTGTTGACGAAGTCCCGTCACCACTCCGGACGTTTCTCTGCCATCCTACGGAGACGCTGGACCGGTAGTGTAACCGGAGCTCCGCTTTCACTGATTCATCGTCAGAGAGGTAATGAGTCGAGTTGACTACCGAGCGTACCGAGGAAAGCTGGGTCGAATGGAGGGTGTCGTTCTGTCCAACACTTTTCACTCACACACACACCATCTCCCTCTCTCTCAAGATAAACTTCATTTCCCATCTTTAAATTCTTCTATCCTGCTAGCAAATCATTCCAGATATTTTTAGAAATGTCTAAAGCAAAGTTTTTCAACCACCGCCGTGTGGTTAATGTCTGTTGTACTACTGGAAGTGAGAAAACAATCGCCGTATTGTTTACTTCCTGTAAACTGATTAATAAGCTGTCGTTATTTTCAATTCTTGCCAATTAATGTAAATGTGTGATGTGTTAAACTTGATTCTGTTAATAAATGACCCACTGTCGTTGGTGAGTCAAAGATAATTAACGTTTCCGTCCACATTTTATTAAATTCAGATGCACGTCATTATACAGTCCAGAAAAATGAAAGAATCCGTTTAATTTATGAATATATATCATGCATATGTTCATACTACAATGTTCCTTTTTCAAGTGGGAAGTAAAAAAACACCACTCTTTTTTAACCTGTGTAAAAATTGGATCTACCATTTTTATAAAAATGTTGCTCGAAAATGTTCTCACTCATTAGAAACTGCTCTTCAAGAGTGAAAAAAGGAGTCAAAATGCTGTATTACTTTTAGGACTTTGAAAAAAATTAAAAGATTTTACATTGACTTTGTTAACTGTTTTTCTAAAAGATGACATGTTTAGAATCTATTAACCAAGCAGGCACAAGTTCACCTTTAATATTTTTAATTTGAGCTATTGTTTAGGTAAACTGGACCAAATTTCCACATTGTTTAGGTATATACATCAAAATTATATCCTTCTAGCTGGGTAAAAATATATAATGATTGTTTGACCATAATTTAAACTATCTTTAGCACACTTCCTCAGACGGCTGAGGCGAACTGGTCTGGGAAGCTCAGTCCTCACCTCCTTCTACAGGTGTGCAGTGGAGAGCATCCTGTGCTCCACCATCAATGTGTGGCATGGAGGCTGCACAGCTGCAGAAAGAAAAGCTTTGCAGAGAGTGGTGAAGGCTGCACAGAAATCTGTTGGAATCAGCCTCCCCACCATCACAGACATCTACACTTCCAGATGCAGGAAGAGGGCCACCTGCATCATGAAGGACCCCACTCACCCAGCACACACACTTTTTGCCCCACTCCCCTCAGGAATGAGGTTA